TTCATTTTTATGTTTTATGATCCATTTTGCATGATTTTAGAGTTGCGGTTCTATTAAATTCTATAAATTTGCGAGTTTGACATTTATAAAACTCTCGTACTTTTTGTAACGTATATTTGATAAAGGTACGTACTGTACACGTAAGATTCATTTGACGTATATTTGAAATGTTCGTTATTTTGCCCGAACTTTTAATCATAACTTTAGATTTAAAATAAGTATTATTCACGTACGTAACTTTACTGTATGATACCCGATCTGTATTTTACTAACTATGATCCCTACATCCAAAAGCTTTATTAATTCTACCTTTACCACTTCCTCCAGGTTGGGATTCACACGCCTTTGAGGTTGACGAACCGGCTTGGTACCTTCCTCTAAAAGGATCTTGTGCGAGCAAAAGGTTGGTCTGTTCCCTCAGATATCTGTGATATCCCATGCGATGGCCCTCTCGGGATGATGCAAGACCCCAATCAACTCAGTCTTCTGCTCCGGTGTAAGATTGGAGTTGATGATGATTGGGAGCTTGCCATCGTTCCTCAGGAAGGCATACTCAAGATGGGGAGGAAAAGGCTTCAGCTCCAACTCGGGTGGTTCCTCCAAGGAGGTAGGGATCTTGGACATTGAGGGCAGAGCTTCAACCACCTGATCTTGCAGAAGTTGGCTTTCCTCCTCTTGAGATTCCAAGTAATTCATCCCTATCAAATAACACTCTTCAACATGGTTAGAAGGGTAGGCACCCGCGAATGCGAGTGCCTCCATGAAATAAAAAACTTTAACAAAGTAGTTAAAATCATCATGATTGTTGGAAAACTTCATGCTCTCATCAATAGAGAAGGTAACCTCTTCCTCCCCTGCCCTAATCACTAACTTCCCCCATGCACATCAATCAATGCCTTGGCAGTAGCCAAGAAAGGTCTACCCAGGATGAGAGGGACATCGACGTTATCATCAACGTCGAGAATGACAAAATCGAATGGATAAATGAGAGTCCCTACCTTGACAAGTAGGTCCCCCATGACACCCTTATGTTGTACAATGGACCTATCTGCCAGCTGAATGTTCATCCTGGTAGTTCTAGGTTCACCTAGGTCTAAATTTTTAAACAACCTATTAGGCATCACATTTATACTTGCTCCTAGGTACGCCAAGGATTTTTCCTATGCACATGTTGCCAATAAAACAAGTGTTAGTGAAACTTCCTTGATCTTTGTGCTTTGTGGGCGGGTGGTTCTGCTGGATGGCTGAGCACTCTTCATTCAAGGTCACCGTAGCCATCCCTTCCAGCTTCTTCTTGTTGGTGAGGAGGTCCTACAAGTACTTTGCGTACTTGGGCATCTGGGTGAGGGCCTCCACGAAAGGGATGTTGAGGTGCAATTGGTTCATCAGCTCCATGAAGTGGGCAAACTCTATCGTCGTGCGATCATTGCGGAATCGAGAAGGATAGGGAAGAGCTGGAGTTTCTTTTTCATTCCTCAGCTCCGATTGAGGAGTTGAATCGACCTTCTCCCCTCCGATTTCACTCGTGACCCTTATTTCTCAAGAAAACTACTGGCTCCATTTTGATCTTCTGTCTCGGATGGCTTCTTCTTTGGAGGTAGCTGCCTTCGAGATAATCCCCACACTTGTGGTCAAGGTTGTCAAGAGTGATTGGTGGCGTAGCAACCCTGTCTCTATGGTTGAGAATTTCTCTGTCGCCTCCCCTATTGAACCTCTCAATTTTTTCAAACTTCTTAGAGCTGGAGTCAACAAAGGTGGTCACTAGCTCCTCCAGACAAAACATCCAGTCGGCATGCATAGGGGATATAGAGTTCAACTGCTTGTAATGGGCCATTTCTTCATTCATCATTTGGCACTCGGCTTCCTCATAGCCCAAACTTGCACCCCAATCGTATGTCACCAACGACTCCTTCCCTTGCTTCTGGTCCTCAAGGATCACCTCAATCAATTTGTCAAGCTTAGCTTCAAGTGGAGCACTTGCTCCCACACTTCGCACTCCTCTTTCGGTGCTTCTCTTACCACTTCTCGTCAAACCCCAATCATATCCCTTGATAGACATGTCTTCGAGCAACTCGGTCCACTGAGGTGGAGTCATGTTCATCAAACTCCCTTGGCAAAGAGAATCGATGATAATCTTGTCATCTTGAATGAGATCGCCATAGAAAGTCTCTATCCGAAATTGCTCATCGAATCCATAGTGAGGCCATTGGAGGAAGTAGTCGGAGAATCTTTCCCATGAATCCCTCAATGTCTCATCTTCCTATTGCTCAAAGTGAATGATCTTCTTCCTCCACTCGGCTGTCTTGGAAGGAGGACAATATCGGGTCATGAACTTGTTGAGCAAATCATCCCACGAGGTAATTGAGCGAGCTGGTTGGTTTTTTAGCCATCTAAGCGCTTTCTCCGCAAGAGAGTAGGGGAATAACCTCAATTGAAATGCCTCTGCAGGGACGCCATTTATCTTCAAACTTCCCGCAAGCTCAAGGAACCTATGAACATGCTCCCTCGGCGATTCATTGGTGAGCCCATGAAACAATGCGCTGTTTTGAATCATCGTGACTAGGGCGGGCTTGATTTCAAAGTTATTAGCGGCCAAGGGTGGATGTTAGATGGGGGGTTGAATATCTGCCGCCCGTGGAGCCATGTAATAGCCCATAGCCGTTGGTTTTTCCTCAGCTCCCGCTTTCGCATATGGGTTCGAAGGCGGATTAGCACCTTGTTGTTGATTCGCCGCCATCTCAACTTCCCTTCTACTTCAACTCCTCTAACTCCGGGACCAACTTGATGTCCCCTCTCTTCAATTCTTCTTCTTGCTTCCGCTAACTCTCTCTCTCTCTCTCTCTCTCTCTCTCTCTCTCTCACTCTCTCTCTCTCACAAGCTAAGAGTCAGAGAGTGTGGTTGTGATTCTCGTCTAGTGGCGCTAAAGGTGTCGGATTGCTCTGGGTCATACACTTCCATGCACACACTTAAAAGAACCACAACACGTCTAGCACAAGCAACACTTCACACAATCAAAACTCAAAGTAAAATCTAGATTAAAACCAAACAATCTTTTCAAAATAATGGACTGAAGTTCCCCGAAACCGGCGTCAAAAACTTGACTCACTCCAAATATCACACTTAAATCCCACCTAAGGCCAAAGTATAAACCTTAAACGGGTGCAATATAGGGCAAGTATAATTAAATATAAACTCGGAACTGTCCATGTAAGACTTGAAGTTTGTGAAAATCTCTACAATCTACGATTGAAAATGCAAGACTTGAAAAGTAAAAGGATTGAAAGTCTTGGTGAGAAGCTTCATTTAGGAGTTGTTTCCCCCTAACTAACTACCATGAACCGTGGGATCGAATGTTACGGTGTGCGACGAGACAATTGTGAACCGTTAGGAGGAGCAACAGTGGTTGGAAACCACACTTTCAATCGCTAGGCCAAGCAATGCATTATAGGCTACGATGTAGCCCTCTTGGCACAAGTACTTGAGAGTTGACTTACCTTCTCTCTCAAAACAAGGTTTGGATGGCTTAATCACAATTAACCTAGATGCCTAATTCGAGTTTAGAGGTTTGCCCTACCTTAACCCAGTTAGGAGGCATGGAATGCTTAAGAAGACCCAGCTCAATTTGAGCCTCTTGAGCTAAGGGGGTTTCTCTCTAAGCTAGGTTAGAGTAGGATAATAGATTACCAAGCACACACAATGCACAATCATCATGAACAATACCTCAAATCTAAAATTGAACATCACCCACACAAGCGAATAGGAGACTACTCCATGCTAGAAGAAGAAAAAACACAAAGGACAAGAGAAAAAACCATCATTGTGATGCCTCAATCCTTCCTTGTGCTTGTAGAGATGCTCTCTTGAGGAGGAACTTTCCAATTCCTGACTTGGAGCAAATCCTAGCCTCTTCTTCCTCTTTGTTCGTGGCTTTCTCTCTCTAGGGTTTCAAGAAGAAGAAGGTTTATCGTACTTTGGGCTCCCCCTTTTTCTTCCTTTCAGCTCCCCTTTTATAGACTGATCGCGCCCAGTTCACGGTCACAGTTCACGGCCGTGAACATCTGGCCTGGACCGTGAACACAACCAAAATGCACCGCTTTCATTTGTTTAGTTCACGGTCCATGGCTTCAGTTCATGGTCTTACGACCGTGAACTGACTCGACGTCAGTAACTTCTGAAACCTCTTTGGACACCCTTCAGTTCGCGGTTCGTGGCTCCAGTTCATGGTCCTAGCGACCGTGAACTCACAGCTTGGACTGTGAACATCAACTGTTTCCTCCTCTGTGCCCGTTTTCACGCCTTTTCTTCCAACTTTCGACTCCGGGGTTGGTTCCACCTGTTAGACTCTGAAACACATTGAAACACACAAACCTACGTAAAACCACCCTTATGGATCTCAAATGCCACAAACTCCAAAAAGAAACGGGGACAGAAAGCGTACATTTAAGCTCGAATCAGGGAGACAGCTTCATGCCTTTGCTGTAAAAAGTAAACCTAGTTATGATGTTGCTGTAGGAAATTATCTCATTGATATGTATGCAAAGTCAGCCGAAATTGAAGATGCTGACCATGCTTTTGTGAGATGAGGGAGAAAAATGTCATATCATGGACATCGCTGATTAGTGGGTATGGAAAACAAGGTGTTATGGGACAATCCAAGTACCTCATCGGTAATACAAGGGAAGGGACCATTGTATATTAGTGTCCACCAAGCTCAATTAGTACGATATTGTCCGCTTTGGGCCAAGCCCGCACGGTTTTACTCTTGGGTGTCCTCCCCAAAAGGTCTCGTACTAATGAGCTTTGTGGACACTAATATACAAGGATTCCTTCCCTTGTATTACCGATGTGGTACTTGCATTGTCCCATAACACAAGGCAATTTCATTGTGTAAGGAGATGGAAGATAAAGATTTAGGTCGAATGACATTACTTTGTTGTCTGATCTCTTTGCTTGCAGTCATTCTGGATTAAATAAGGAAGAATCAGAATTCTTCAATAGCATGATCAACAAGCACAATATCATACCACGAGCTGAGCACTACTCTTGTACGGTTGATCTCTTTGTCCGTGTAGGGCAGCTGGAAGAAGCGTACAATATAATTTCTAGGAACAATATTACACAGAATTCCTCACTGCGGGGTGCCATTCTCGGGGGATGCTTTTCTTATGGTAACTAGAATCAATACCCACGGCAACATCGCGGGAAATTAAGTTACAATGTGAGAAACAAAATAACAAACACCACATTGAAAACATTGCGAAGAGAATGTTGATTAGTGTGCCCCACTGGTCAATGATAGAGCATGCACGTCATGATATGTGGAAGTGAGTTTTAAATAGAAATATTTAGAATTTGCAGCGACGGAAAAGATGGCAATATAAAGAGTATATGAAATTCATATCAAAGGGAAAATTCTCTAAATTACCCATGAAATATACAAATACTTGTGTTCTCCTTTGACATATAAAGGTTGGTTGTGCTAACCATTCCTCTATATCTTTCTGTTTGCTATAACATCCCAAACCTCGAGCAATTTACAAACCAATTCGATTTGATGAGGAATCAAAAATTTCAACCATATTAGATGAAATTGCGACCTTACCAATTGGTTTATGAAATTCCAAATATTCTGAAATTATAGTTAAGTATTTAACAAAAAATCCCGCCTCCATAATTTAGAAAATCTTTCTAGGATCACGTAGGATTTTACGGAATTACATTTGGGTTCCAAACGAGTGAGATATGTCATTTTGAAGTCTGCATCCCGTTATTGAAATAGTGTACGTGCCGACACTAATTTAGGCACAACTTATTCGTTTGGAATCGAAACAACGAGCCGTTTGCACCCACAGGATCATAATGGAAAGGAGAAAAATTTCAAAGGTTGATATAACATGGCAGTGTAACTGACCACATCTACCTGACAGACGTACCAACCGCTAGAAATTAATATCACATTTTCTTTGGCAAGACAGATTTGATTTATGACAAAACTGGAGATAAGAGTTGCCTCCAGCTACCCATTAGTTGAAAGTAACGTGGGTGGGGAAACTTTGTCTCAAGGAATCACTAAATAAAAGTTAAAAAGCATCCTTTTCATCCCTTCCAACTTCACAACTCCATTTTCCTCAGTAAATGAGTATAGAGAAAGAGCGAGAGAAGGAAGAAGTGAGGAAGAAAGAAAAGGAGAGAAAACAAAACATTTTTCTCTTTGCTTAGGATGATATGGAGGTGTGAAATCCATCTACGGAGTTAGAATCATAAGAGTCCATCTTTGGAGGTTCGTAAGAGTTCGTCGGAGGCTCACCGAAAAGTTGCATCGACGGCACCGGCGTCGTTGACTTCAACAAAACTCCAAAAGTTTGGTACCATGACAAAGAAGACGATCTCAGGAACACGCACGTTTCGACGAAATCCATTTTCGACGTCGGACAAGTAAGATACGAGCTTGTGAAGTTTGGAATGAAAATCGATCGGTTCAGGTACCATTACTTTGAGTTCGAAATAATGATATATGAATTTGGTATATTTTGGGTGAATATTATTAAGCTTTGTGTAATTTTATTATTAAAAATTTGTTTTGCGTTTTTTAGAAATAAATATGATTAATGGGGAATTGATTTAAACTGAGTTTTCATGTCAGAATTATCACGGAAGAGTTAGAGTTATTTTGAAATAAATTATGTATGATCATTGAGAATAATACCTATAATGTTTAATTGAATATTTAATTGAAATGTTGGAGATATTATTATTATTACGGATTTTGAGAAATGATTTAGATTTTGTATTTTAAGAAATGATAATTGAGAGATGTGTTATTACAGAAGACATTTTAAAATTAGCTTATGATGATCATGAGAATATATATATATATATAGAGGGTATGGTACTTTTTACAATGGTTTCAAGTTATTAATATAAATTCATGAAAACAAGATTTTGATCATAATATGTTTAGTTGATATGTTGATGAAATTAGTTAATGGACGATATGGATAAATTGATGTATTTTTATTATTATTATATGGTTGTATGATAAAATGATTTGATGACGAATAAAATATATATTAATTATTGATATGTATGATTATGACATGATGATGATGATGATAGGGATATTGAGTGATAGTGATACGATAGACGTGTATGAGTATGACATGATTAGAATATCGATTGGTATAAATGTGATTGGTAAATATAAATATTACTGAGATATTTTGTGAGTGACAATGTTGATGTGATGAATGCTTTTATTAATGATGATGTGGATGAGATATTATCATGATCGATTTGTATTTGATGTGTTAAATGATTACGATGAGTGAATGAGGTATTGATAAATTGGGTACTTGGTAGATTTGTCAAGTTTGATTGAAAAGAATGAATTATTTATATCATTCAGAAGATGATTATATTGAGATCATGCAACGCATCAAAGTATGCATAGATGATGTGAGATATGCATGGACTGGGAATATTAATTGGACACTATTGATTTCTTGGATCGATTGAGATATGATGGAAGAGAGAAATTGATATTGTTTGATCATGTTAAATCACATAGACATAGAAGGCCTATGCCTACCCCTATGAAATTGATTGGGTTGCGGTCCTAATGAAAGGATTTATGATAATCCTAGATTTGATGAGATTGTGGTTTTTTATATAACCACTAAGATGATGAGCTCGAGCGGGGTGGGCATATGGTGACCTTAGCGTGCAAATTAATAACAAATGCAGAGTCTTCATTTCATGCATTGCATATGATATGTGATGGAGATTATTTTCATGAAGGAAATCGTGAAGTTGTATTCGATTGATGATTGATTGATATGATTGATACCAAATTGGTGAATTGATAGTGGATGGATAATAGATATGTTTGATGTTTAAATGATGAGTTGACTTTGAGTGAAGGATTGATATGATGAATTCCTTATTGGAGTTAAGTTTACAATATCATTTTGATATATGACTTGATTAATGAGAATCATGCGATGAGGAATTGGGTAAAGATGAATTTGAATTGATGACCTATAAATAAATCTAGGAATTAATGAGATTTTCGTGTGGCATGATAATATGTTGATGATGTGTTTTTAATCAACAATATGTGATGATGTGATGGCATGTTAACAATAGTTTTGCCATATAGGCCAGGTCCACACACTCAGCTTAGTAGCTGACCCATATTTCTTTCTAGATGTGACAGTTGTGGTAAATTGAGGATGACTTTGGCACTGCGCAATGATTGATGGAAGATTTTGATTTAAAAGGTTTTTTTCACATATTGATGTACTCCAAAATCCTTATTTTACGTTCGAGTTTTGAGCATGCATGATAGTTTACATTGGTCAAGTATGATCATTAACTTGAGTTCAGTATGAACGAAGTAGATGAGATTGATAGTCTGGGTTTTGTGAATCCTGAATTTGACGAAGATTGATTAATGAATTGAGAAAGTGATTTTTAGTAAATTGTTATGATGAGTTGATTTTTAAACATATCATAATGATGTGGATGTGAGTTGAGTCAAGATTTCCAAAACGTAAACCCCGAGTGATTTTCGTTGCGCGGTTGAACCATCGGTTCGACCTATGATTTTAGGTTGGGGTGTTACACTTGCTGTTATATCATATATAAAAGGAAAAGAATCTATTCCCTCAAACATATAATTTAAACATCAAGAAGCATGATGCATAAAATTAAAGCATTGAGAAATAGGATAAAAAAACAACAGATAAAAAATTGCATAAACAGACTCAAAGCAGCAGGTAAGTGTTGCAGCCCTCCGCCTCTCCGTTTTCATGATTTTCCCACTGTTTTGCGTGCTTTTATTCCTTTCTTTTCGGTGTCTGTTCCTTTCAAGTCGTTTTGGCTTTGTTTCTATCCATGAAATTGCTTGTCTGTCCCTTTGATGGGTTCCTTTCCTCCCCCTTGGGTGGGTCGAGTTTTTTGTCCTCCAATCTATTTGCTCAGATATGGAGATGATGATCCTTGCTAAGATGCGATGAAGGCCAGATCAACTCCAGATCTGGCTTGTCTTCTGCTTTCCTCTCTCTCGTCTACCTCCTTGTCTCACCTTGCAGATCTAGGTGTTTCGGAGATGCAGCCCCTGGCGTCGGACTCGGAGTGGAGAGCTTGAAGACAGAAGTCATTGTCCCTCTAGTTCTTCCGTCGTCGATCGGTTGTCTGGTGGTGGTCTTTGGTTCGATCGGCCCTGGGTAGGGTGGTGGGAGGTGTCTCTTCCTCACTCCTCTATTCGGGTTTGGCGAAAATGGTCCCCTGTTGTTGGCGCATGGCAGAGGCGGCTTGTGAAGGCAGCGGTGCTGGGTGTTTGTACGGCGGAGGAATTTTTGGCCGCGTCGGTAGAGGTTTCCAGAGGGAGCGGATCGACGACTAGGGCTTCAAAAGCCTCAACATGCTTTGGCCCTATTGGATTCCGACCCACTTGTTTTTTGGGCCTTTTTTGTTTTAGTTTTGAGATCTGGTTGTATTTTCTGTTTGTACTTTTCCAACTGGGTTTGGCCCGATCGCAATCTTATTGAACAACTCTTTAAAAAAAACTAATTCTTGTTACGGCCAAGTGCTTCAATTTAGTTTTTTAAATTGAGGTATCAAGAGAAGAAATATGATGGTGATACAATGCTATTTTATGATCTTTTCTTTTGTACTCATATCTGAAAGATGTATGGAGAAGCCAAAAATCTACTTACATTTTACTACACTACATTATGGCAATGAAATAGAACTAGATATGTAAGCTTGGTTAGGATTGATCTCTTAAAAGTTAAAACAATAGTATGTTCAGAGTATCAACCCCAAGTTTGGTGGAAAAAATCCCAAAATATACTAGTTATTAAAAAAATTTCCCAAAATACAGTAGTTATGAAAATATTTCCCAAAATACAGCAGTTTGATCATCACCGCCGTCGACTAAGGCATTGGTGACATTCACCGTCGTCCTCAATGACAGTGAAAATTATCACCGCTGCAAAGAAAAACGGTGAAGGTATCACCATCTTAGAGAAAAGCGGTGAACCTATCACCGCATTGGAGAAAGACGGGGAATGTATAACCGTCTACGTGTACAGTGGTGAAACGTCGGATCTGGAAAGAAAATCAGAATCCGCGTTTCACCGCATCGGACGGCTACGGTGATAGGGTGGGGGA